CTGCTGCCAAGGACGTATACAGAAAGTGAATAAAAAACAAATGAATGATTGAACAACTACTTTTGAGATAAAAGCCCAATTCTTAAAATGTTTGTCTGGTGAAACAAAAGTTACAATCTTTCCCGTGAAAACCAAGAAAATATTTACATCACTGAGAACTTATTTCTTTTTTCCCTGTAACTCACAGGTAGGTAGTATAGAAAGACTAGAAAAGTGCTTTACACTCACTTTACACTCAGTTTATTCCTGAAAGTTCCCTTGGGACAAGCTGTGTTCATTCTTGACTTAGTAACATGGCAAAACTACGTCACAAGAAAAAGTAAATAATAATTTCTCTCTTAGAAATGAATACTTTAGAATAGCTTTTGATTTTCTGAAATCAATTTAATTCACATTAAGCTTTTGTCCCAGAGCAAAGAAAAATAACTAAATTTTGGGTCAGCTCCAATTCCTGGTTATTAAGGGAGCCAGCTTCTACATGGTCAACTGCACGATTCAAATCCTAGCCCCCCATGGCTTAAAAAACACACCAGATACATGTGTGGGCGCATGTGTATGCATGCATAGGATCTCAAAAGGATGGAGATACAGAGGAAAAGGGATTGTAGGATAACCATGACCCACCGGGAGGTGCTTTCTCCCACTCTCTCTCTTTTTCTCTCTTTGGCAAGCACACAAGCCCTCTGACAATTAAAAATAATAATAATAATTTAAAAGAATCAACCAAATTCTAAGAAAAAATATCAGCCTCTAATATTTCAACTAAGCCTCCTTAGGAAAGTAGTGGAGAGAAATCAGATGAAGAGAACAGAGTAAAAAAATCCAAATCTATCATATGCCCTTAACTGATAAAACACGAACAGAATCCATCCTTCAAACTGCACATGTCTAATTATCATTCAGCTAGCAAAAGAATCTCCAATCTTCTGTCAAAGTCTCTTAGGCCTGCATTTTCCTCTAACAATAGTTTAAAGACTGCCAGCTTCCGACTTAATTGGAAAATTCATTACAAATAAGATTCTGAAACTTCAATACAACTCCCACCACCAATAATGGGTCCAGATAAGAATTTTTTAATCAAATATCACAAGCATTTGATGCAATCTCAAGTTTGAGGACCAGAGTCCTAACTATTTTTCAAATATCAGAAAAAGTCACCTACTACATGACCATACCCTCGAGTTGGAATTAATTTCCTTCCTCTGTACTCTTTGAGCTTATTACACATACTTCTCTTAGAGTCACCACATTCTCTCTTCCCAAAACTCCTCCCCATACCCACACTCAAAAAAGAAAACTTGGGAACCAGCAGTTAGCGTAATGGCTATGTCGCTGGACTCCCACATAGTCAACCACAGTTCACGTCCTGGACCCGGTGGCTTAAAACTCACGCCGGGCACATGTGCGTGCGTGCCCAAGATCCCGAGAGGAGAATGGAGGAGAAGGGAATGCGGCGTGACCATCCCCTCTGGGGGGTGATTTCTCGCTTTCTGTCTCTATGTCTCTCTCTGTCTGTCTGGCGAGTGCACGCGCCCTACAGTGAAAACCTCTCAAAAAAAAACAAAACAAAACAAAAGCTAAAAAAAAAAAAGAAAAAGAAAACTTTCTCATTAATTTGAGTTGGGGTTTATAACATTTTCTCCCCAGCAGACAACAGCTTGATCCCAGCAGTAAATTACAATAGGGTGCTACATGGATAAAACAAGCCATAAAGATACCTGCAATTCCAGGAACTAGCTCTAATCTTTTTCCCACAAATCTGCTTGAATACAGAAAGATTCCTATTTGATTAAAATGTATTAAAATTAAAGATGAAGTGTTGACCACACCTACATAGGTAGCCATCAATTTTATAGCTAGGAAATCTAAAATTCAGTGAAGTAGTTGATTCAGAAATATAAGAAATGCTAGAATGGCAAGAGCCAGCCACCAGGCCCCTGGTAATTCTTAAGGGATATTCTGAGAAATGGTATGAGACTACGTTAGTTTAAAACAAATACTGTGGGATCAGCAGATGACATAACAATTAAGTGGGTGGACTCCCACGTAGTTGAACGTGTCTGAATTCTGGACCCAATAGCTTAAAACTCATGCCAGGTATGTGCAGCTGTGTGCTCAAAATCCCAAGGTGACTGGAGGAGAAAGGTGTGGTCATCCCTCTGGAGGTGATTTTTCGCTTTCTGTCTCTCTGGCAAGCACATGTGTCCTATAGCAAAAAATCTCTCAGAAAACTAACACAATTACTGCTTTTGAGCTGGAGGAAGAGCATTTCTCAAAGTATTCCAGAATACTTAAAAACAAGTTCACATTTACTTTTTCTGTGACTATGATGACTTTAAGGATTTTAATTATAGTCTATTTTCAACTTTTCAAACCAAGAAATCAAAACTTGAGGTTAAATTTAAGAAGTGAAGATAAATTTTATTCTACACTGTGCCAACTTATTAGAAAAGAAGTAAATCATTGCCTCCTTCTAGATCCCAGATTCTTCCTTCTGCAAAATTGGAGAGGAAGGTGGAGATAGTGATTAATCTTTGGTTCCTTCCAGTTCTGTTGTTATCATTTTTCTAATTTCACTGATACAAAAGAAAAAAACAAATCAAAATGCTCCTAATGAAAACAATTTATATTATTTACTGACATTTAAAAAAATAGAAATAGTACTCGTGACCAGCAGATTCTGTAATGGTTACATCGCTGGACTCCTACATAACTGACTACAGTTCAAGTCCAGGAGCTGGCAGCTAAAAACATGCCGGGCGTGTGTGTGTACATGCCCAAAATCCTGAGAGGAGAGTGGAAGAGAAGGGACTGCAGTGTGGCCATTCCCCTAGAGGGTGATTTTTCACTTTCTCTCTCTCTCTCTTTATCTCCCTCTCTCTTTCTAGGGAACACACATGCTCTATAGCAAAAATCTCTTTAAAAAAATTGTACTCAAAGATATACAGGTTATCTAGTAAAGAGCACCAGGAACTTCGTTATTTTCAAGTTTTTGGTTTTACACATAGTGAAGTTTCTGAAAGTCATTCAGAAGTCAATCACCACATACAATAGCTGAATATTGGTGGCATATGGCCCTGTAAAAAACATATCAACCTGAAGCTAAATTCCTAGACAGAAGGCCCTGCAGATGAGGATTTGAAGTCTTTTACACAGTTAAGTAACTGACAATGCTGAACTTTACTACAGCCTTGTGATCTTGAAAAACAGCAAAGGTTAAAAAAATCTCCCCACCATTTTCAAGACAGGATCAATGCAAAGAATCTGGGTTTCCCACATAACTTAAATAAGACGTCCAGTTACACCCCCACCAGCTTGATATCCAACAGCAAGACAGAATTAGACCCTACAAATTCCCATTCCGTACGGGAAATCATAAATGATTTGCTGAACAGCTTCATCCACAAATTAATACAAACAAAATGCTATTGACCAAACTTTGAGATTCTCTTCTCCCAAGTTCCTGAGCTTTGGCCCACCCTCATTGTAAAACAAGACATAAATCCTCAATAGCTCAAAGAGTAGACTGGCCTCAAGGTAAAGCATTCTCGGTTACTGTCCATCATACCACCCACTTCCCATCCCAATTCCCAACAACCAATTCCTTCCCCTTTGTTCTCCCTACAAAAGTTTTGAAAGAAAGAAAGAAACACAAGCAAGCTGTTTCACCTAACCTTGGAGATGCTTTTAGATCTTAGGGCATTCTCTCTACTGTTAATAGTTCCTTCTTCCACGCTCTTGCAACATTCCTTTCTAATAAGGACTGTCCTTACTAAATCCTAATTTCCTATTCTGAATCTCAATTCCAAAGTGACTAAATTTGGGACATAAACTGGTTTGCTGTTTCTTTAGGTGACAGGTGCCCACTTGGAAAGGCCAGACATTTCCAAGATTTGAAGTCCTTTGCTACTGCTCTGAAGCTGAGAAAGGTGATCAGCAGGGCAAGGTCAACTATGGAAACACCCAGAGCCACAGACCATACACTGTGAGTGGGCCACGAATGAGCCAGGCTTTCCACTCGTGCTCCCTGACACATCTGCCTCCACCTCCAGCCCGCCAGTCTCCAGCCGGGGAGAACGGATACTGCTTCCTCCGAGGCTCGGTCGCTCCGGGGCAGGTGGTGGTTCCTGCCCTGTCCGGGGACTCACTCCAGCGCACCAGTCCGCACCACGCTGGAAGTCCCTTTAAAGAAACGACCTCCCGGCCCTTTCTTCCCCGTGCTGTCGTTCCTGCTCTCACATGACTCACCATAACGCCAAGGACAGGTCGTGGACCGGACACCCGGAGTCGCCGGGACTGTCCTAGACCTACCCTCCCCTTCCCGCAGCCAGGAGCCTCTCGCAACAGCCAGGGAGCGAGTCTTCCGGCTCTGCCGGAAGTCCTGCCCGCGCGGGACAGGAAGTTCCTCCCTTCTCCTGAACGCCGGCGACCCCACGCCACGCCGAGGTAAGGATACGCAGGACGTCCTCTACAGCCACTTCCGCGAGCGCTAGGTTAGGGCCGGGGGCGGGCCGACCTTGAGCGCGGGGCGCGCAGGCGCAGCGCGGCGCAGGTGGGAGGGCGGCGGGCCTCCGGCGCGCCTGCGAGGAACCGGAGGTAGGTCGGCTGGCTTCCGCGGAGCTCGTCTTCCTTCTTAGAGGTGCGGAGACACAAGTTAGTGGCGGGGGGAGGGGGCAGCCCCAAACCCAGCGGATGCAGTGAGGGTACCGACCGCAGTAAAGCCGTGGTCGTGCCGAGACAACACCCGTCCTCTTTTTACCTTTTACGTTGTCCCGTGTCGGTCCCTTCTTGGAGGCTTTCCTCATCTCCGTGGACCTGTTCTGTCCCTCTGTCATTTCTCTTCCCTGCCTCAGTCGGCCCTCAGCCCTGACCCTCCCTCAGAGCAGTGAGATCTGACTGTAAGAAGTTTCTTCACTGTTCACAGATACCCGCCGAGGCCGGAAGGACGTCTACCAAGAGCAGAGAAACCAGAAAGCGAATTCGGCCTGTTTAATATATTCCAGTATGGATGGTTTTCTTCCAGTTGAGGGGGAAAAAAATTATCGTCAGATGACAGGAAATGAAACTTTCATGTGTCGCTTGATTTGTGTGTGTGTTTTGGTTTTGGTTTTTGCCAATCTCTGTACCGGTCAACTTTTCCTGCCTTTTTTATTTGCTTATAGTGAGACGCAGTTCTGGAAGCGGGCTTAAAATGGATATTTGAAGTACCTTCAACCCAGAAATTTCTCTTACAATGGGGACCCTTACTTCAGTCATAGCTGTCTTGTTTCATCCTTGAAATCTCATTTGGCCAGAGAGTCCACTGAGAAATCTTGAAGTTGGAATTGGAGGGGGAAACTAGAAACCTTCAAACGTTAACACTGTTAAGCAGGCAGCGGTGACTGGATGCTCCATTTGGTGCCTGGAGAGAATGAGAAGCAAGCAGTAAATAGCCCAGTGACCCTAGGCGACTGAACCACCCAGAACGAGTGTGCATAAGGAAGTTGCTTTTTATTAGAAAGGAGGTGTAACTGGGGGTGTGAGTTATATTGGATTTTACTGTAATTTTTATGGGCAGGTGAACAGCGTGACAATTAGAGAAGATAGAGGAATTTGGAATTTAAGTATTGACAGAAACAGGTGGAAGGAGGGTGGGACTGGGGAATAGTTTCTAAAACAGATCCTGCTGAGGATTCCAGAACTTCCCTGGGGGTCCTGGTTCTGCTGTATAAGGGCTAGGTTGTAAATAGACAAGCTCAAGGGCAACTGCAGATGGTAAGTGTGATAAAGAGGAGTCAGAGTTTTCTGCTGGTGTGTTTGTGGAAAACACCTGCTCTCCTCATGGAAGAAAAAAATGGGGAAGAAAAGTGGCTAGCCTGTCAGCGACAACACATTCTATGAAGTCTTACTCTTTCACTTCTGATGCTGTGGTTCATAAATCTGTCCTAAACCTGGCAGCCTCATTGAGGTTCACAAAGCTCCTGTGTGACAGTAAGAATGGAATTATTATCAGAATGGAATCTATTCCTGCCAGAATAAAATTATGAAAAGAAATCACAGTCTTTTTTTGTTATCTGCTTATGATATTTGTAATGGATTATGAGATTCTGTGTTCCTTATATGGCAAGTTGAATAACCTTGGTTAATATCCTCTAATGTTAACTGCTATTATCTACTGTTATTTCTGTTAACAGTGTGAGGAATGTGTTATACAAGTAATATTTCTTAGTGATTGAAATGCATATGGTATATGTTGTAAGGCCTTGTTGCCTTATTTTTATGTTGTAGAACAATGGGTTCTATTGATTGCCTGGCTCAAAGTAGAAGAATCTTCTGTTCCCATTTTTTAAAAATACATGGGGATTTTTGACAAAGGTACAAATAAAGGAGAGAATTATGAAAAGGGAAAAAAGAATTGGATAACGGTGATTAAAAAGAAATGTGGTAGTTTTGGGGCTGGCAAGTGGCATGGTGGTTAAAGGTGCTGGACTCCCACATGGCCGACCACAGTTCAAGTATCGGACCTGGTGGCTTGCTTTCTCACTTCCTCTCTCTCTCTGTCTCTCTGATCAAACTAGAAAATAATAATGATGGGACCAGCAGTTAAGCGTAATGGCTATGTTGCTGGACTCCCACGTAGTCAACTGCGGTTCGAGTCCCAGACCCGGTGGCTTAAACTCACGCCGGGCCCTTGTGCGTGCATGCCCAAGATCCCGAGAAGAGAATAGAGTAGAAGGGATTGTGGCATGGCCATCCCTGCTGTGGGTGGGGGGAGTGATTTCTCACTTTCTATCTCTCTGCCTCTCTGTCTGTCTGGCAAGTGCACGTGCCCTATAGCAAAAACCTCTCAAAAATAAAAAATAAATAAAAAATAATAAGAAAGTTAAATAAAATAATTTTTTAAAAAGTTTTAAAAAATAAAAAGAAATGTGGCAGTTTTAACAAGATAGTTAGAAATACAACCTTTTAGCAACATCTTGATTGCTTACCATTAGGGCTTAGTGGTGGGTTTAACAGTCTTAAAGAACTGTTCTCAAATTCAGGAGCATAAAAACAAACAAAAAACCTCCTGTCTCACCATCCACACTGACCTGGAACTGTTTTAATTCTTAAGTCTTAACTACTTTTTCAAAGTTCAATCTGTATATTTTGCAAAATATTCTGAACAGTTTGTCCTCTAAGAAATTTTCACGGTTTTTTCTTAACTTCAGTGAGTAGGATTACACATACTTTCTTTGTAAATTTCTTTCGCTAATGTATATAAATACTCCTTGATTTGTAATGGAGTTATGTCACACTAAGCCTTTTAAAAATTGAAAATACCATAAGTCAGAAATGAATTAAATGGCCCAGCTTGGCAAGTTTTCCAAGCCTCCAGGGATGGGAGTTAAACAATGGTTGGCCATGGCACAGTCAGTAATAAATTCATCTTCAATGCTAGGAGCCACAGGTCCAACTGTACATTCAGATCTTCACATTGGATCTTGAAATAGGCACTCACACCCAAGATCCTGACAAGATAACGGGTTAGGAAAAGGGTATTGTGGCATGACAAGACCCTGTTAAGGGTACTTCTCTTATGCATGCATGTGCACACAGGCTCTCTATCATGAATAAAATAATTGTTAAAAACTGTATTGAGGGCCAATTGATTACATGGTGGTTAAGGCAGTTGGATCCCACGTGGTTGACTACATGATTCAAGTCCTGGACCCAGCAGCTTGAAAAACATGCCAGGCATGTGTGCATGCATGTCTGAAATCCTGAGGAGAATGGATTGTCGTGTGGCCTTCTTCCCTGGAGGGTGCTTCTTCACTTTCCTTCCTCTGTCCTCCTCTCTGGCAAGGGCATACACTCTACAGCAAATTGAAAAAAAAAAAAAAAAAATGATGCCAGCCTTGTAGCCTAATTAAAGGAGCCAGATCTCCATGGCCAACCATTGTTTAACTCCCATCCCTGGAGGCTTGGAAAACTTGCCAGGGGTGTGTGTGTGTGCATACATGTGCCACAAATCCCAACAGGATGAAGATACGGAGGGAGAGGGATTGCAATATAACCATGCTTTCTAGGGTAGTGCTTTCTGTCTGGTGAGAACACACGCTCTCTGGCAATTAAAAAATACTGGGTAGTTTGAAAACTCATGATGCATTTTTGCACAGAAAAATATGAAAACCCAATACATTTAATGTACCTAACCTAACTTATATGTACTCTAAACACTTATTAGCCTACAGTTGGACAAAATCTATTTTATAATAAAATAATTGAATAACTTAAGTAGTTCTTGAGTTTTGTGCTAAAAGTGAAACCCTGAATGATTTGCTGCTGCCTATTTTGAGAGAAAGTATCTTATTGCATGTCACTGACCCAGAAGATCAAAATTAAAAGTATAATTTACTGAATGTATCACTTTTGCACCATTATAAAGTAGAAAAATCAAAAATTGAACCATTAAGTTAAGGACCATCTGTATTATCCTAATTAGACTATAAACATCTGAAAAATTGGGGCCTTGTTTTTGTTTTGTAAGAGATACCACTTAATGAATGTTGTGGACAAAATCACTTCAATTAAGTTGCCCTTCAGTGAAAATGCTTTATGGATGAAGATGTAGCAATACTTCAGACAGTCATACACGATAATATGAAAGTGGACAAATTCTGTCATATATGCTTGGCGGAATATTTTCTAGCCGTTTTAAAAAACCATTAGACTAGTCTTTCTAATGGAGAATGAATATTGTGCTTCATTCTGTATGGAATGAGGCCTGAGAATACATGAACTTTACTACCCCACAATGTTACATACCTTGTATATTCTTAATATGTATTTCCTAAATTCTCAAAATATTTTTACCCAATTAGAGTACATTTACATTTATCCAAACTTTTTTTTGTGCTTTGTGATTCCTTAAATCTGCACTTCTTACCTGAATCATATTTCTTCGTACTGAAAGACATACTATATTGTTCTCTTTTTGTGAATGTCAGCTAGTAACAAGTTCTCTTAATTTTTATATCCTAAAAATCTTTAGTTTACTTTCATTTTCAAAGAACCTTTTTGCTGAATTAACAGCTATTTTACCATTTTGAAATATACATTCCATTATTAGTTTTGTTTTTACCCTGTTAAAGATAACCGTTTTTTCCTTTGGCTGCTTTTAAGATATTGTTTTAAGTGTGATGTGCCTGATTGTTTTCTTTGTGGTTTTTGGGGTTTTGTTGTTGTTGTTTTTATGATTCGTAATCTTCATATCTGGATTTGATGTCTTTACGCCTCTTTGGGAATATATTTAGCTCTTCTCTCATCAAATATTGCTTCTGCCTCACTTTCTGCCTACTTTTCCAAAACTCTAGTTACATCTGTGTTAGACCATTTCATTCTATTGCTTATGTTTCCCATTCATTTGTCTGTGTTTCATTCTTACCTTTCTCTCAGTTCATTTTTTTTTTCTTTTTAATAGCCACTAGTCTGCTAAGGCATTAATTCTAGTCATTATCTTTTTGGTTGTTTTCAGTTCAAGCATTTCTGTCTTATTTTTTTCAGTAACCTATTTAGTATCTCATTCTAATTTTTTGTTTGTTCAAGCTTATTAGTCATAGTTATTTTAAAACCTCTGTCTAAAAGATATGAGACCTGCTATTGTCTGAAATTTCTATTTTATCTTTGTTATCATTGTTTACATTGGTTACTTATGTCTTTTATTTGATTTTATGTTGTTTTTAATATTATTTATGTTGATTTCTACTCATAAAATTTTGTTTTATGTTATTTGTATTTTTTAAATTTAAATTTACATTTATTTTGCATTCATTCACTGTACATAATCACAGGATACAAAATGTGATTTCCCATCCAGAATACACCATATATATTGGCTTAATCAAGGATATTACCATACATGTTATAATCAATAAATCACTTTCCATTTCTTGTTTCTTGTATTTTTTGCTCCTCCTCCCCATTTTTACTCTTTGATTCCCTATTTTTTTACCCTCTTATATTCCCCACACTCCGCCCACA